CTCAGTTTTAGGCTACTTTCAAACGTCCCCATCTTATTTCAAAAAATAGCCTCTAAAATGCCATTTAACACTGCAGCTAGCCTTGGGTTATCTAGACCAGGTAGTGCAATTTATGAATCACATTCGAATGTGATTTAAAAAAAAAGGTGAAATTTGGTTTGGATGTCCTTAACGTCGGAGGCATAGTGAGCTACTGACCTCTAGTTGAGAAAAACAAGATAGCTATTAACTCCGGTCCTTTTTCTAAAATATATTTTCTTCCTTCTTGCAAGCTGTCTAAGTGTTTGTAATTTTATTGTTTCTTCAGGAGAATGGGAAAGACATTGATATTTTCCAGGGATCTCATTCAAGCTATTTACAAAAATGAGAAAGGCATCATTTTTTAAAGACATGCTTTCTTTCCAGGACCTTTTTCTCTGCATTCAAAGAAGTTCAGCATAGTTATGAACTCAAATGAACGGCAGTTAAAACAGCAGAGGCCAAATAGAGGCTGCAGGAGTTACTGTTCTTGGTATATTTTTCCATTTGAACGTGTGCAATGAAGAAAACTGAAGCTACAAAAACCAAATTTCCTTCTGTTTGAAACAACTAATTCCTTTGTTACAGATTCATCAAAGATAGCGGCTGCAAATAGTGTACTTGCGAACAAGAGATACTGATCTTTTTTTCTCTGAAAAGTAACTCCACAAATGATGAAGAGGCAGAAGTGAACAGTTTCAGGAATTCACCGAAACCCATTAATACATTAACATTCATCCTGTAAACTACTGAACAGGTAAGATGTTCAGCACTAGATAAGATTAAGCAGTAACTTCCTATTTTAATGTGTTTTAAAGTCATGATATTCATCCATAAATCCTTATTTTTCACTACTAGCCTACCAATATCTCCATTATTTCTGTGTCTGAGATGTTCTTTTTATCTTTGCTTCTCCAGACTGTAAAATGACCACTTTCTTAGGATCTTAAAATTAGTTATTTTTCTTTTATCCTGCAGTTATTTTTATTTTATTCAGTCTTCCTTTCCCTCATAGTTTTTGGAACAAACTTTTTCCTAAATTTTTGGATCCCTGACCAAGGGTCATGAGATGAACACAGAACGAATAAATCACCTGCAAAGGGAGTCAGAAATCTCCATATTCTATCTTTCTCAGAAGAAATCAAGTGCTTCAACTAATAAATGGAATGAATAAGGGCAAATTATGAATAATTTATACTTAGTGCAGTTGGTAGTTTTGCCAGTGCCTACCTTAAATCTGCCTTCTTTACCCCCAGGGGACAGAAGAAACATTTTATTAGAGTTTCACTGTCCTGTGAAAACACAGATCCTTCAAAAACGTTCTTGCATTTTGCGTCAAATTTAGCATCTTCCATTAAGTTAAGGAAGGCTAATTGGTGTGGATTTGGTGCAATGATCGGTCCTGTATCAGGCAGGACTGATGACACTATTTCTCTTCTGCTCCCCATGGATGATGCACAGCATTGCTTTTTCTTCAGTTGTTTTCATTCTTCATTTGCTTTTTTGTGCCACTGCACTCTGATGCAAACTCAGGATGAAGGAACAGGCCAGAGCGTGGACAGTATTTCTGGTGCTCTACAGATTCAGTGGCCAAACCTCACGAGAGCACAGTGAATCAATGCACACCTGGCTGGAGTGATGACGCACTGGAAGGTTTTCCTGGGTGACGTTCCATGTCTTGGGTCCAACAGAATTTCTGTACTCTAAGCAATTGAAGGGACGAGGGAAATAAGCAACTCCAACGTTCATGTCTAATGAAACAGATCAGCTTGTTAAACGCACAGACGAGGCCAAGTTTCTCACTTTTCAAAAATGGAGTTAAGACTGGTAGTTTAAAGTGGTCTTAACAAATTGGAGAAGTGGTCAGAAAATACGACATGCAATTTAATATTGATGAGTACCAAGCACGTACCTTAGGAAGTCATAATCAGTGTCACAGATAAAATATGGAGGATGATGGGGAAAGTAGTAGTTATGCAGTAAAGACTGTACAGATTAGCGTGAATCATAAATTGAATCTAAGGGAATAATGACATACTGTTCTAAGAAAAGGTAAGGAGAGGAAAGGAATGTATGGGGATCATTATAGAACTATCTCATGTAAAACAGATAACATAATATTTCTACTCAGTATTATTAAGGCCTCAGCAGAAACACTAAGACAAGTTTGAGAAACCACAGTTTAGGAGAGAGGTGAACAGCTGGATGGTGGTCCAAAGAGAATCCAAAAGAATGATCTCAGGTTTAGAAAATATGACCTTTGAGGAAAGAATGAAAGGATGAAGTTGTTTTTTTTCCCCCCAGAGAAGAAACAAGTTAATAGACTTCAACCATATAAAACTGAAAAGAAGAAGATAAAGAACTGTTTCTTGTGTCCTCTGAGGACAGGGCAGGCTTACTGCAGGAAAGGGGAGAAGTAACCCTCCTACCTTTAAAGATTTAAACACTGGAATCGATTGCTTACATTGTATAATTTTAATCACTGGCTGTTTCTACAAACATATTAACTAATACTCTGTCAGAGAATGGTTTAGGATATGAGTGTTGTACCTTGGTCAGGTGAAAGACAGGGGAATGAACTAAGTAACTGCCTCAACTTTTTAAACTGGCAGTCTGTAACCTTAGTTCAAACAACTAAGGATTCTTTGCACCTGATCCTAGGGTAGCAGTGAGGGACTACTCAGGGTTTACTGAAACCCATTTTCTCTGAGAGGGGATGGGTGAGAGAGTAGCCTCTTCATAGGCTGAGACACACATGTCTAGGTGATTTCTTAAGACCCTTTTCAGGCCTATCTTCTGTGAAGTTATGTCAAGTTCACTGACTGACAACTAGAACTGTGGAAGGTCAGACTCTGGATAACTAATGTTATCTGGAAAAAAATTAAAAACAGGAAAGTTGTTTTATATTAATATCTGTGAAACAGAAAGGATGTGATCTAGACTCATCAAGTGATGTTGTTTGTACATTTTCTACAAACCTAAACTCAGAAATTGTAACTTCTAATCTCCAGCTAAGCGTATTTGATCACATTCTGCCTTTAATTGTTTCTGATTTGTTAAGGAATCATAAGAAGATATGTCTATTTTATTCTTAGTGATGTTAATTAATACAGGATGTGAGATGTTTTAATAAGACAATGATTAAAGAGTTTTCCATTGTTCCTAATGGATAATACACACAGCAATTAACAATCCATCTGATGATGAAAGCAAAGAGAATTTAATTACCTTGGCAAATGCTATAAACAAGTGTAGACTAGCACAGTGCTGTTAAGCGAGACTGCATTTTCTTTTAGATTTGATGGTGACTGTCCCTGTGTTTCTCACTAGAGACTTGAATGCATGTTGTCTTTTTCACTATAACGAATGCAACAGTTTGCTAATAGAAGTTTGGCTCGAAGAAGGTATTACTTTCACAGTAGATCTTTTGCTTTTGTTTTTAAATGCCAGGGATTTAAAATAGGGTGCGTACAAAGTACTGAAGGGACCATCTGTCACTTATACTGAATGCATTTATGGTATTTCTATGAAAGGAGAGTTTTTTGTTTCCAGTGTTTATCTGACATCCAATTACACTAGACACATCCATAATCATAGGCGTCAGGACCTTCTCAGATGGATGGATAAAAGAACTGATTTCGTTTTCCCTATCTAAAACCTTTAAGAATTTGATAACCAAAAATCTCATTGCAGGATAAAACCACAGCAAACTGCCATTTTGCTCTTGATGCTGTGATTCGATAGCATATTCCTTTGAAAATAATTTGCTTACACTACTTCTATGCATGCACACATACAGGTATGTTCATATTAATCCAGGAATGTAGGATATCTCCCACTAACATTGAGTGTACATTTGATCAATCCATTAAAATCAGAGAAATTTTAAGAGATGCTGAAGTCTAATTTCTCATCCATAAACACACCCGTATTCATACAATATATATCAATAGGCATCATAATCTCATTGCTTCCAAAAAAAATAAAATGAGTTGTCATATATGAAAAGTATTAATTTTTATGAAGAATTTTTGTTTATTCTAAGAAAAATACATACAAGCGGGAATGTTTATTCCTCTGAATACAGATGGTGAAAATACCAGATTTGAGACCTCTATTATCAGACATATCAGCCATCTGGTACTTTTATTAATGTATCTTCGTTCCAATTAGACATAATTCCTCAAAAATATTTAATAAATCATTAACATTTTGTCAGACTTCTTAATGTTTTCTTTAAGTAATGCATATACTGTAATTACTTTCTTAACAGACATTTGAGCATACTATGAATTCAACTATTTGCAATTTAAAAGTGTTATACAGTTTAAAGGAAACGTGTAGTGAGCAATACCCTAAATAACATGAGAAAAGTTAAATGCTTCTAGGTAAATCTATCAATAAACTTACACTTTCTTTATGCCTGGACATTAAACATTTGCAAAGGAAGTTGTGAAACTTTTTATTTTTTGTATTAATTTAATAGTGCAATAAAAAAGGATCTTTCCATTGGGCATTTGAAACCCTGAAGTGATTAATCTCCAGAAAAAAAGAAAACAACACAAAATTACTAGATAGTGGTGCATATTAAAGGTGTACTTTACAAAAAATAGTACCGCCTTATCAAAATATGCACTGAGACACTGTTCTCCAAGACACAAATAAACTACTATTTATATACATTCTCCTGTAAAGTTAAAGGAAGGAATAATTCCAATAAATGGAGAACTGTAAAGTTTTATGTCTCATATTTAATAGCCTTAAACCAGGTGCATTGCACCGATAGGTATGCTATTACAAGCACTGTGAATGTCATTTTGTTATATGATTCTCTTTTATTCACCTTGACTTTTATCTGTGGAACCCTAGGCATACGGAACTGCATAAAGCAGACAATAATCTACAAGCTTTCTGCACTGGAGTTTCTACAGACTTAAACCTCTGTAAATGCAACCCAGATATAAATTTTCTCATTACTTTACCTTATCCTTCTTTTGTTTTTCATCCTGGTATATGATCCAGTGCTCCCCATCATTACTGTAAGCAAGCTTGTAGGACCCCACAAACTGGACATGACCAAAATCTTTAGCTCCTTGAGTAATTATGCCAGTGACTTTTGTAGGGACAAGCAGGTCAACCTATAAAAAATGACACAGAAATAAAACAAAATACATGAGAACATAATTTAAACAGGTTCTGCTCACAGCCTGACTTCACATTACACAAAAGCAAAAGCGCTGCATCGTGGCAGATAGTATCTGGAACAAGGCAGGAAAACCCCAAAGTTGTTAAGAAACTCCTAAAGGCAGGTGGCTGAGGACCCAGTTCGAGCAGCGGCTTTGCACAGTTTCAAAACTGTGACTACTGCAAGGTCTAGTTCAATTCACTTTGCGTAGGGAAGAAATTAGGATTAGCAGGGAATGACACAATACTTTTCTCCAGCATTGCTCTTCCAACTCAAATGCTGACACAATATACAGTAACTTTTTCCTTCTTCAAACGCTGAGTCAATGTTACATAATTAATCACTCCGCTTTTCTTTTCTCTTTGTTACTTACTGTTTACACGTCCTTATGGTAGAACTGTGTTAATCTTGAACCAGTTCCCATAGTGCTAGGTGCTGTATGCATTCTCAAAGAAACAGTGTTTTCTGTTGCAAAGAATTTATAACCAAAAAGTGCTCCCACGTGCTCCTAATAATCAGAACACAATAAGCCAGAGTTTGATTCCTCCACTGCCTTTTCATTTCCTTTACAATAACAGAGGCTGTGCTTTACTAAGCCTTCTAAAACGTTTGCTATCACATTTCTTTTTTTACTGACCTTTTCTCTTTTTTTTTCTCTTTGGGATTTTATTTCTTTTTCTTCTTACAAAGCTCTAACTTTTTCATTTCCTGATTTTTTGAGTTATTTTGTAAACTTAGCACAAGATTTTTAAAAATTCAAGGCAGAAACCTTATTGCCTAATAAAATCTGGGCTTTCAAGTGGCTTTCACATGGGTCAGTTGTAAGTAATTAGTGTTGTTCCTTGGGGACACATCTGTGATCAATCCTCTTGAATTAGAACTCAACACTGATTGTAACAGATCTGTGCTACACTCTTTAGATTAAGGTAATTAAGGAACAGAACACAACAACAGAAGTAAAATGACCTAACAATGTATTTTTAGGGGCAGAACGGAGGATTTAAATTCCCTATCAGAACTGACATTTCTGGAAATACAGAGGTAAAACTGAGGCTTCATTTTGTGACTTAAGCAATGAGTGCTACCAAAAAAAGAAAAAAAAGTAGATTTATTTCTGACAATAAATACTTGTGAAACAGTAGCTATTCTTAATATTGTCAGTTAACTCAGGCTAAGAACACTAATAGTAAAAATATTACAATAACATAAAAGGAGCGATGAACTCGATGAGAAAATGAGGGATACGTTTTACAACAAAAAATCAAAAAGAGAACATGAAAAACTATAGAATCTGTGACTTATCAAATGCTGAAGATCTAGTCTTGTGATTTTGGGAGGCCGAAGGCCTCAGAGCAGGCTGGGCTTTGACTGGAATCTGGGGCAAACAAAAGGACAAACGTGATGCAAAGTACAAGAAATGAAGCATGGAAAGGAAGAGAAAACAAACAAGCAAAAGAAGTCATCTAGCCTAAGCCAAAGCTTCTGAAAGATGGAAATCATAGTTTGGACACTAAGAAAATAATGCAGAAAACTATGAGAGTACATATTATTAGAAAAGAAGAGAAATAATGAGTCATTAGAGCTATCAGACAAGGAAGACTGAAGACGCCTGCCTAAACATTCAAATAAGGGTAACAAATAATGAGTAGCAAACCATTTTAAGAAAGAGGTGGAATAAATTAAGAGGCTTCAGTACTGAGACACTATGACAGTGAATACAAAACTTAATTGTCCAGAGATGATCCAAGGGTTTTGGTTCCGGCAGAATGAATGAATTTATTGCCATCTGACAGCAGCAGTGCTGATGCCTCCAAAGAGCACCCCAGGCTCTAAGGGAAGTATCCCTTGGGAGGCTAAACTCTTTTTGTTTTCTCCTTAGTCTCGGTCAGTGATCATTCAGAGCTGGAGTCTACTTTAGATGGTCTCAGTCACTGAAGAAAACTCCGGTGTAAGGAGTGCAGGGAGACTTGCTTTCATAGCCTGAGTTGGCCTTTGTGAATTAAACACTGTTAATTAGGTAGTAAAAAGATATGTTACACTTTTTTACAAGGTAGGATGTCATTGCTACAGTTGCTTTTTACTTATTGTTACATTTAGCTGAGAAAAGAGGACGTGTAGAACTGTACTTAGAAGAAGCTCCAATTATTGAAATAGATGAGCGAGACCTCATGCTACCTACTTCTCCTCACTTACAGTTCAGATGCAGAATGAAGAGGTCTGTCAGTCTCCTTGTCTTTTACGGATTACTGAACACTAGGTATCTAGACTTAAAATTCCAAATACTTCTGGAGTCTAATTTTCAAAAAGGTTGATCTGGTGAGGAATCACTGATTGGTCCACACTTTTAGGTAGCATAAAATAAAGAATTTAGGACTCAGCTTTAGGTTTTGTTTATAAATAATTCTGACAGTAGCATTTTCCAGGTGTAACCTCTTTTCAGCAGAGAATGTTTCTTATACTAAAAATGAATGTACCTCTTGTTAACCAAAAACCATGCCTCTATGAAACTGTTGTTGAATTTTTAAAACCTTGAAAGTAATCTAAATGGATTTCGCAAATATTTAACAAGGCCATGACATTCAGAGTATTTCTCACTGAAATTCAGAACAGGGAAGAAAAATTCTCATTAAGATTCAGAGGATTTCACAGGTAAAATCACAATAAACCTCTATTATCACACAGATCCAGAGTTAATAAAAATGTCCTAGTAACAGTTGTTTCGTGCTTACAGGATACATCCATTGGCCTTGTACTCTTGTTCAGGAAAATGATGTGGGAAGCTGAAAGATAATTTGGTATGTGTTTCATCTTTTTTCTGAAAGACTTACATAGCACTGTGTAGAATATATATGTGTATGTGCTATACGAAAAACTTGAAGTTTTTGAAAAATTGAAGTTAAAAAGCAACCAATAGACAGGGCCTGTTCTAGGTCTTGACAGTACAGACAAGCTAAATTGATGGGGGATGGAGAAAAAGAAGCAATGGATATGGCACTAGTATCTCCCTCCCATATTTTAGCAACTTATTTATTTACTCATACTACTGGTAAGAAGTCTTCAGATCTGTGAGTAATAAAGATTGCTATTAATCTGGCATTAAGTGAACACAGGTGCTACGGTGTGCCTTTATTACCTTCTGCAAAGGGTTAAAACTTCCTTGCTTTTCATCCTCCACATTTAAGTTACTTTGGATAAGAAAGGCAAGCCGAATTTACCCCAATTTCTAGGCAAAACATCTACGTTAAAATAATTTAACAGAAAGTCATAACTTCCCATCAGGACACATTTATTCAGACAGTGCAGACTGCAAGTAGCAGGCAATCAAACAAATTACCAGGGAGAAAAGCTGAATTAACGCACAACCACTACATACTTTTCAAAGCTGAATGTGATTAACAGGATCAGAATGTGACTTCGTCTTTTTCAATGCAGCAAAATTCAGAATGTGGTAGAGGCAATTAGTCTGTGACTGATAGGAGCATTAGCTGGTTACAGGAAGAACCATGGTTTACAGTTCACTGTACATTTCTACAAGCAGCTGATCAAAAAGCAGTTTAACATCTTGTGTCTGAAAGAACTCTCTTGGACTATAACTACTTTCTTTGTATATATGTTTCCCACCTTCAGATGTTAAAGGCAATTCAGCATTAAAGTGTGATTTGGAGAACAATTAATTTAAGAAAGCACAAAGATAAATCTATCTGAATACACTTTTTAAAATAAAATACAGCATGAACATGCAGAACTATGTGCCAGTGTGCAACTAAACATAGAGTGATTAGTGTTTCTACTTACACTAAGAGGAGGTCTACTTGATCAGGAGGAAACAGTCATATACCTCCTCTGTCCATGCTTTGAGTGGCCTAACCATCAGTCCCGAGCTAATAAACCTTGACTATTAGCATCTGACTATGTCTGAAGTTCATGTAATTGCCTTTGGAGCTTCAAATTGGCAACGTTCACTCCTCTCAAGACCAGAAGCATAATGACAAGACACTTGTAGACATTGGAGATAGCTGCCCATAAGCCAGCTTCTTGGATCTGGAAGCAATACAGCTACCTTTGCACGCGTCATGCTTGAACATGGCTCTACTGCTTCTGGACTCAAGTCGGCCCTCCAACTTGGGTCTCCGTTACCTCAGCAATCTCTGTACCACGTGCAGTAGACATGCCGTGAAACAGCTATCATTGCTTTCTGAGTGGCCCCATCCCCCAACACACCTCTTCCCTCTCCTACACACTTAGTGGAAATAAATTCAGTTTCAGATTTTTGCTGGGATTATAAGGGAGGCAGCAGAGCACTTGAAGGGTAGGCCAGGTGTGGACAGGACTCAGGAGAGCAGATAAAGGAAGGAAGTGGTTTTCAAGAGACAGAGACCACATGTGGAAGCTGAGTGACCATGCAGCTTGAGTGCTCTTTCCTGGACCAGAGGGACACTGGCTTTCAGAAGACAAGCCCCAAGAAAACACAAAATGTAGAAGTCTCCAGTGCTTCAGAGACTAACAAGGGAGACAGAGAGACCTAAATGGCAGTACCTTGCAAAACCCAGCCAGGTGGCCTAAAGCACTTTAGATTAGGAAATCAATACACACAGTTGGACTATATTTATAGTAACAAGCAGCAGAGTGCAATGGGAAAAGATCTGTGAAGCAAATCAGCTGATATTGAGAACTGGATTTCAACACAATATGTGCTGCAGGGGACACACGATGCACAAGTGTGCAATTCAGTGGTTGGAATATAATTGGTTTTTATGCGCATCTTTTGGCTTAGTTTCATCTGAAAAGAATCCATTTTATGCTCTGTGAGGGCACTCCATGATGTAAACCAAAGCACGAAAAGTGGAGACAATCTGAAAAAATAACATATTCCTATCTACAGTATAACGTTAACATAGACAAACCCTCAGAATCAATGCACCCTCTTTATTTTGCAATGAAGATAGTAACAAA